GATCAATGATGTGCCCAGAGGGCAAGAAAGAATGAGGACAGTAACGCTGAAAAAGTATTAGTAGGTATTTGTTACAGATGCTAGGGGCAAAGCGTGAAGTATGCACCCCAACAAGGCCGTGGGAAAAGATCTAGGTATTAAATTTAAGTTAACTAATTGCTTAGCTTGTAAATTAGAGTAAAAACGACCCCTCACAACAACGCCACTCCACGACGTGAAGTGCTCATTACTGTGTACGACTGATTGTGATTTGAGATTCCTGGCAGTGTACTGATTATGACCCTTGTATTAATATAAGAATAATCCCACTAGTGCTAACAAGTGTGATAGGATGTTAATTAAATATTCCGAAATTAGCTGGGTGTATATAAATATGTATGTGTTACCTGTTAGTAAGTTAGATTATACTAATATACAGTGGAACCCCGGTGTCTGAACTTAATTGGTTCCTAGGTAGTGTTCGAACTGCGAAAATTTCGATGTCCGAAACAGAATTTCCAAGGCTTTAATTATCAGCCTCACGCATTGGAGGAAGTTGAACTGACTCTTCCAAAGTCTCTGAGTTAGGTCAGTGTCAGAGGTCACTTCAAAGAACTTTTGAAATAGGGCTTTCGTGTAAGTTTTTAACAATTGAATTTTTAAACAAGTCACAGTGTTCGGACTCCACAAAAGCGCTCAAAGACTGGGTTAATTTTTTTTCTTAATAAAATTGTTCGGATTCCGTTTTTTTTCGAAATCCGGTACGTTCGAACAACGAGGTTTCACTGCATAACCAGAAAGTCATATAATTACTCTTTATTTACTTGTAGATGTATATTTCTTCCAATAAATTCAGACTTATTACCGTCTTTTTTTTTTTACCAACTTCTAAACTTCTAATATGTTACAATATATATGAGAACAACTTGTTTTTTATATATTCACGTAGAAAAGCTAAAACCTTAATTCGTTCAGCGGGGATTGAGAGGTAGTCTGGCGTGATCTAAAGAGGGTGCCTCTAATTCCTTTTATCAATATCCCTTCACTAACATCAAGGTACTCTTTAAAAGGTCCATAACTTAATCCGTGAAACACTTAAAAAGGCGACATAAATGTCGTCAGTTTGCTTTTTTTTTCTATTCGTAACTCAGATTAGTGCTGTCTTGTAAATATAATCATAATAATAATAATAATAGTAATAATAATAATAATAATAATAATAATATTCTTATTATTATACTCACGTTCACAATGATGAGAAACTAAGATAAAGGCACATGAGCAAACATTTAGGACATTTTATTATGCAAAGTTTTTGACATACGCACCAGATGGGGAGTAGTGATTGTATTCCTTTTAAAAACCTTCCGCATATGCGAATGCTCCTAAATAATACAAGCCTTTACATGTTTTTATCTCACCTTCATCCATGACTACAGACGAAGAGCACAAACCATTTTTATCAGAAAGCATCAAACTTATGCATCGTAAGCACTAAACTGATGTGTCGTAACAAACGACACTTTAGGACCATTTGGCAAGCAACATTAAAGTGCCCACTTTTGCTACCATGTCCATCAAAGATCTTACTGTCATTTCTCCAGTATTTGTCGCTTATATCTACATTATTCTGTGTAGAGAATATGACAATACGTGGAAGGGGCTGGTAGAAATCTGTTATGAACGAGCATAAATATAAAGTGGAATGAAACCCAGCTCGTCGTCAGTGAGCCAGATTAAAGGAAATGTATATTTTAGGAATACTAATTGATTAACCTAATTTTTAATGGGGTGGACCGGTAAGATGACCAAAACCTCTAGTGGAGGGTCATCAAATGACTAAGATCCGTATTAGGAAAGACGTCCTGTTTCCTGACGAATCTTACCTAAGCTACAAGCACCCCTGACAGCAGTAACAAATACTGTCATACAAAATGTATGAAGTTAAAACATATCTGTTGTGTTGGTATAGATACTATTTAAACATGGCTCACCCCATCCACCTTGACCTCACTACAGTACACCTCCTGACGAATCGAAAGTTATGATGACACACTCCCTGGAGCTGTTGGTCATTAAGCAGAGATCTTCCGCTCCACCCTATGCAAAATATCACATAATTACTAATAACTTCAATTTTACATATGCTTCATGACAGAAATGTTAAAAGCAAGGGGGGGGGGATATAGTGTTGGAGTGGTTGGTATTTTTGTTTAATAAATGTATGAAAGAGGGGGAGGTACCTAGGGATTGGCGGAGAGCATGTATAGTCCCTTTATATAAAGGGAAGGGGGACAAAAGAGATTGTAAAAATTATAGAGGAATAAGTTTACTGAGTATACCAGGAAAAGTGTACGGTAGGGTTATAATTGAAAGAATTAGAGGTAAGACAGAATGTAGGATTGTGGATGAGCAAGGAGGTTTCAGAGTGGGTAGGGGATGTGTAGATCAAGTGTTTACAATGAAGCATATATGTGAACAGTATTTAGATAAAGGTAAGGAAGTTTTTATTGCATTTATGGATTTAAAAAGGCATATGATAGAGTGGATAGGGGAGCAATGTGGCAGATGTTGCAAGTATATGGAATAGGTGGTAAGTTACTAAATGCTGTGTAGAAGAGAGGGAGACTAATTCCCGGTAAAAGTAAGTCTTAGACAGGGATGTGTAATGTCACCATGGTTGTTTAATATATTTATAGATGGGGTTGTAAAAGAAGTAAATGCTAGGGTGTATGGGAGAGGGGTGCGATTAAATTATGGGGAATCAAATACAAAATGGGAATTGACACAGTTGCTTTTTGCTGATGATACTGTGCTTATGGGAGATTCTAAAGAAAAATTGCAAAGGTTAGTGGACGAGTTTGGGAGTGTGTGTAAAGGTAGAAAGTTGAAAGTGGACATAGAAAAGAGTAAGGTGATGAGGGTATCAAATGATTTAGATAAAGAAAAATTGGATATCAAATTGGGAAGGATGAGTATGGAAGAAGTGAATGTTTTCAGATATCTGGGAGTTGACGTGTCGGCTGATGGATTATGACGGATGAGGTTAATCATAGAATTGACGAGGGAAAGAAGGCGAGTGGTGCATTGAGGTACATGTGGGGACAAAATACGTTATTTATGGAGGCAAAGAAGGTAATGTATGAAAGAATAGTAGTACCAACACTCTTATATGGGTGTGAAGCTTGGGTTGTAAATGCAGCAGTGAGGAGGCGGTTGGAGGCAGTGGAGATGTCCTGTCTAAGGGAAATGTGTGGTGTAAATATTATGCAGAAAATTCGGAGTGTGGAAATTAGGAGAAGGTGTGGAGTTAATAAAAGTATAAGTCAGAGGGCTAAAGAGGGGTTGTAGAGGTGGTTTGGTCATTTAGAGAGAATGGATCAAAGTAGAATGACATGGAGAGCGTATAAATCTGTATGGGAAGGCAGGCGGGGTAGGGGTCGTCCTCGAAAAGGTTGGAAGGGGTAAGGGAGGTTTTGTCGGCGAGGGGCTTGTTCGATAGGATTGAATGGAGAAGAATGGTATTTGGGACCTGACGAGCTGTTGGAATGTGAGCAGGGTAATATTTAGTGAAGGGATTCAGGGAAACCGGTTATTTTTATATAGCCGGACTTGAGTCCTGGAAATGGGAAGTACAATGCCTGCACTCTAAAGGAGGGGTTCGGGATATTGACAGTTTGGAGGGATATGTTGTGTATCTTTATACGTATATGATTCTTAACTGTTGTATTCTGGGAACCTCTGCATAAACAGTGATTATATGTGAGTGAGGTGAAAGTGTTAAATGATGATGAAAGTATTTTCTTTTTGGGGATTTTCTTTCTTTTTGGGTCACCTTGCCTCGGTGGGAGACGGCCGACTTATCAAAAAAAATGCTTCCTTTACAAATGATAACCGAAAGGAAGAAATGTTAGTAGCATAGGAAAGGCATGGCCATGAAACACAAATAACAAAGATTTCTTTATTATACATTTAAATCAAAATGTACATAACATGGCGTACCACCAGTGCTCGCTACTTAAGCAACAACGGTAACAAACTGTCAGTAACCACAGGACACTGGGCTGGTGTTGGATAATTAAGAGAGGCATGGTAGAAGTGAGATGTTGGTTTCTTCTTCAAGAAACGGGAGGCTCTGTTGGTGTGAGTATTTTATATGATCCCTAAGGTTAAACATGCCTTTGCGTTCCGGAGTTTTCCACAGCATCTAAATACAACGTATCACTATATAGTGCTATTTGTCGGATAGCTTTGTTTGTGTATAAGATGGCAGTTATGGTAGAGACAGTTCCAGGCTGATAGGCCAGAGGCTGGTAATTAAGGAGATACCTTAATTAACGGCATCCTAAAGTGTAGGCTTTATGAGCTTCTCTTGCGGTACATAAGATTTTGGCTATATATTCATGTATATAACCTTACGTGATGGCCTACTTTTCGAAAGACCTGAAGATTCCTTGTTTCATAGTAACCTATTTACAGTCGTAACCTAATACTACTTTTGCGTGATAAGATTAAAACGTATCCTGATTAATTTGTGGGATAATCAGTATTGGCTGCCATGACTCACGAAATCGTAATGACACGATTGCAAACAAACCATACCACGGGCGGGTTCTATCCCCGCCCGTGGTATGGTTTGACTGGTTGCCAATCTACGAACAAATTTTTAGTTGTGAATAGTTTCCTTCCAAAATTTATAATCGTTTAGCTGTTTAAATACAACACCAAACTAAGCATTTAAGTGAACTGGCTTCGTTCCACAATGTTCTCATTGTCCTGTCACGATCTGCACTCCCACCAGCCTCCCCATTGATTTGTACGGGAGAAAAAAAATCACTGAACAGTAGCTCAAAATGAACGAGTCACACTAGGAAAGTTAGAATTTACAGCAACGGCAGAATATTTCCATGATTTGCATGTCCCACCACAGACTTGTGTTTCACAGATTTTAGATTTTGCCCCGAGAAGAGTTTATTACGTCTTGTAGAGAAAAATATTTATTAGGATTACTCTTTTAGATTACACAGCACTGTAATTATGTAGCCCTCTGAAAATCTAAACATTATCAACATAACCATGAAGGATTTAACTGCTAGTGGGGATATGAGTTTAAAACGTAAAACGAGAATTGATACACTGAAGGAATGTGCTCCACTTGGCAACTTTTCTAAATTTATACCTTCGATACTGTCGAGTTGCAATGTTAAAACTGCTACGAGTCAAGTCTGTTTACTCGTTTCCTCAGACATACGTGTTTCCTGGCAACTGAAGCACCTTAAATAGAAGAATGCATGCCTGTTCTCCTTCGAGCCACTGGCTAAGTGAGCGAACTTGCTGACTCCATTTGAGACTGCCTCCGGTGTTCTGAGGGGAAAAGTTTATGTAACCTGAGTTGTCACAACCCTTAACCTCCAAGACCAACAACAACAAAAACTCAGAGCTAGTAACATGCTATCCGTTATAAGACAATGGTTTAAGCCAACAAGTGATAATTTCAAAAACAATTTTTAAAGGAAAAATCTTTATTATAAGTTTCACTCAGAGGTGGGCTATATAAAGCCCTACTGTTGGTGAATCGTCGAATAATAAAATAATTTCCCCTAAATTAGCATTTGAATGATATTTTCATAATCAAACCCTGGCCAGTGAAGCAGAGTATTCTTGTACTTAAGATCCTGACTCTCCACATCAGAAATCCGCCAGAATACGATCAAGATGCACCCAACAAGATGGCCCCTGACAATAAGCTATCTTCCAAGAACGAGTGATTATAGACGAGCTAAAAAAAAAAAGTAGGACGTTGGGCATAATCAATAGTATTTAGAGATAAATGGACTAGAGGCCGACCTTATTATTGTGTGAACTTTATGCTCATTCTGCTGCAGATGGCAACCCTGGGCTAGAAGCTGACCTGCATTATGTAGACAGCATATGAACGTCATTCTCCCTTTGTGCATAAGAGTACTGCTCGCTTCTTCTCCCTCAGTATCTATCCAAAGGGAATGGTTGATCTGTCAGTGTCAACTCAACGGCAGTTACATACTGCCTACGCAAACAGGCTGACACACTGGGTAAGACATCGCACTTCAATATCTTCACTTCCTGCAGTTATGGAGTTTTCCAACATAAACAGCCCCAGATTTTTTAGACATACCAGCCTCGCCCTTACTGAAATGCATGTTTTTCTATTTAACTGGTTAGGTAATGCCTTCGGGATGTTAATGTCCACTATCTGTAGTTCAACAGGCGGGTGAAGGCAGCTGTTTGTGGTCATCAGGATTGCTGACAACACCAGGGAAGACGCGAAAAAACACACATTACAGAACAGGGTTTTATTGGGACATTCTGGTCTATTCTCAGCACGTCATTTAGTTTCAGAGAGAATAAACGGCAGCCTTCAGTCGGATACAGCCTTAAAGATTCTTCTACAGCACCCAAACACGCATCTGTAAAACACAGACACGCTTTGACCGGAGAAGCACGCTACATAACAGAAAGTTGATGGTTAAAGCAGTGAAAAAAAAGAGAGGTATGGTCAAGGAGACCGGTTTATGCCTTCTTCATTTAAGGGACGATGTACGGGTTAAAGTGATGAAAGCTGTGAAACTGGACAGGTAATGTGGTCGAGGTTCGCAAACACCGCGAACATGCAATCAAGTTGGTTGGCAGCAAGCGACCTTGTGTATCTCTGTAACTGACGCCTCCCGAGGCCCACCTTTGTAAAGGACCTGCATCATCAGTCGTGCACTACTCGTAATGTACCAGAACCATAAGTGACGCCACTTGTGTTGCTGGGTATTCATCCACCTTAAATCCTAACTCCTCACAGTCAATGACTAATGAAAAGTACCACTTTAACTCTGTTTATAAAAGGCTGAAATCAGGTAAGTGGGCATATAGTATGTTCTTCCTGATCTGCTTACAGACCTCGATGTGAGATCATAATAATAATTCTCCAAAAGTGTACCGAAGTTTATGTGTATACTCAAAATTCAACAGGAACACTGAGCATCAGTTATCAGGCAACGCAATGAACAGGTTTAAATTTCATATTTTAGGGCAAAAGACACACAACATGCATGTCAAGATACAGTTAAATCACATAAATTGACACCAAGACAAAGAAAGGTGACGCGAGACACAATACGAACAGAACCTGGAGATAAACTCCAGATAACACACAAGGAATTTTTTAAGCAACGAGTACTTTAGCGTTTCTTCGGCGATGACTTTTACGAAAAAAGTACAAAAATTATTATCCACGCAATTCCAAATTTTTACAATTAGACATTTTCTTTTCTTGGGTAGGATATGCTTCCTGATCAGTATCCTGAAGGCTCTTGTGAAATACCCACTCAGACGGACTTTAGGGCATGAAAGAGCCTTTTACATTACTAGATGCTATTCAGCAATAACAGGTGCTGAAATAGACACATATGCATCATCTGGATATCTTGCATATATCTTAATTCATCATCCTGTCGGTATTGAATACTACTGATATACAAAAGACAGGTGCGTTTCATAATGGAGTCACAGTATTGCACGTCCTGCTTAAGCACTGACTGTCAATAAGGAGCAGCTGGTGTTAGTACTTTATCTTAGTGATTTAAAATTTGTAGATCACTATTTTAGGGGCATTAGAAAATTTGGGTGTGACAAGAGCTACTCATCACACTTACGTCTCGCCTATTGTTATCACAATAATCAACAATTATACATTCAACAAATTATTAAGCTGACTTAAAACACTTTAATTACAACTCCAAGTCTATTGTTAAATTATTTTAAAGCTGAAGAACACGATGTTAAGTTATAATACAGCCGCAGTAGGGTTGATTAACTTCACCAATGCCTTCAAAGTTGTTTTCATCCTTTTAAGTGTTTCCACGCATGTAAAACATGACAAGTCTCTATAAAACATTTCTTTAGTTCATTAAGCGTTGGATCTATATAATTTTAAGATTTTTAACGACACGTGTATATAATTAAAACAAATATACAGCAAGTTTAATCCAAGAACCTGTCGCAAGCAGTAATCACGCTGCCTTCTGGTGGGCAGGATTCCTGAAGCAGAAGATGAGGAATAAAGTGTACATAATGAAGGCGAAGGTAATAGCCCCTGTGGCGTACATGAAGAGGTTCAGTTCAGGGTGCTTAAACCTATTTTTTTGCAGCCAATCCAAAACCTCCTCTTCCACCATAAGATCACCTGAAGACACAATAGATGTGGATCAGCAGGATAATTAACACCAGGCAGTTTTCAAATTAAATTAAATTCACTCCCATAAAAATCAAGAAAACATATATTCAACATATAATACGGAAAAGACAGCGGCGACGACAACAATAAAAAAAATACCAACCTCTGTAAATGCTGGGGAACCGTCTTCTGAAGTAGACGAGCGCCGGTAGCTTCTGAATACCATACTTCTTGGCATAGCGAGTGTCACGGATCTTGACGAAGGTAATGTCCAGGTCGTCGGTTTCGTCGTCAATCTTCTCCAGCTCCTGCAGCACCTCCTCACTCTTGGCGTTGTCTTCGTCTGGGAAAATGTGATTTAAGAACACCATATCAATGTTACTACTGGAGAGGGTCACTGTGTCCCATGGTGTTTCATGACTTGCTTGAAATACACATATTAGGATTTCTATATACGATATGTGAGTATTTTTTTGTTTACACGAACTCTATTAACCCAGTGAATAAATCGACTTTTATAATGTAACTAGAAAAATAAAAATACTAATACGTACTGGACATTAAATGGGGAGGGAGGGGGGTATTACTGAAATGTATGTATAAATAGATACCTATTTTAATTACTGAAATTATATGATTAGATTTATGCTACAATTTAATACAATTATGTGTAACCCTAAGATAAAAGTCACAATACCGTGGATGAGAAATTCCAAAATTCCCCTTAGGAGGGGAAAATTATGACGAAGTTTTGATCCATCTGGGCTATTGTCAAGTCACATTCATGATCTGACAATGGTCCAGAACGGACCGAAAAGTCGTCATAAATTTTCTCCATTAATGACGGCTATTTTTGAATAATGTAATTTTTTCTGAATGTCATTTCATAGGATGTATACACCATTTACCCAAAGAAAAACTGTAGATGTTACATCAGATAAAAGAAAGTCAAAGGTTCAACAAAAAGAAAGGCTTGGCAGCTCACAGAAGTACACCGCCACGAAATCATTCTCGTCAAGGAGCTTCTCCAGCATTTTACGGTTCACCTCCTCGATCTCATCTTTAATTTCAAATACGTCTTGCGATGTCAGCCACTTGAACACCTTTTCCTCATCTAGCAGATCACCTGTTGGTAAGAATACTAGTATTTATCCATCAGTTTATTTAGTCATTCCCAAAAAATACACATGTATCCTTCCAATAATTAATTTATATATAATGAGGCGAGGGCCTTAACCTCCTTACTAGTTTCTGCCTCGCCTCTTGAACTTTGATGGAAAAAGCCTAATTCTTTATATACAAATAATTATTATAAAATGTTTACATGCTAACAGTCAGCCTAAATCACCAATTATAGTGTTAGATTATTTATGCTTATTAGCTAGGCCTGTGGACATATCAATTTTAGGTATAGTTTTCCCTGCCTTACATCCCACTCCCCCTTTCCCCTTTAATTGAGAATATGTTCAAGAATGGTTTGTGAGTAGAAAATATGTGTGAGTACAAATTATGTGTGTAAAGGTTGAAAGTTGAAAGTGAACGCAGATAAGTGTAAGGTGATGAGGGTATCAAACGATTTAGATAAAGAAAAATTTGATATCACGTTGAAGGGAGGGAGTATGGAAGAAGTGAATGTTTTCAGATATTTGAGAGTTGACTTGTCAGCAGATGGGTTTACGAAGGATGAGGTATCTGTGGAAACAAAAAACGTTATCTATGGAGGCAAACAAAGGAATGTACAAGAGTACAGTGGAACCAACGCTTATATCGGTGTGAAGCATGGGTTGTAAATGCTGCAGCAAGGAGGCGGCTGGAGGCAGTGGAAATGTCGTGTCTAAGGGTAATATGTGCCGTAAATATTATGCAGAGAATTCGTAGTGTGGAAATTAAGAGGTGTGGAGTTACAAAAAAGTATTATTCAGATGGGCTGAAGAGGGGTTATTGAGGTGTTTGGTCATTTAGAGAATGGGAAGTATGGTTTGACAACAGAGCTGTAGATTGGAACAAATTCCCAGGTAGTGTCACTGTGGCGAGAACTTTGGGTAACTTTAAATATAGGCTGGATAGGTATACGAGTGTGCGGTTTGGCGTGAGTTAGGCCTGCCTAGCATGGGCTAAGTGGTCTATGGAAATATAAACACAAATGCAGTCTATGTTCTTATAGCATTCCATTCTAATCAAATTAATGTTCTACCATACCCTACAGCTAATGAAGTTTAACATATATTATGTTCGCCTTTCTCCTTCACAGACACAATAACGACAGCAAAACAGAAGGATTTTAATTGGTGCTGACCGTCGTATACGAGAGGCGTCTTCTTTCTAAAATAGACGAGTGCAGGTGTGTGTAGGATGTTGAATCTCTGGGCAGCCTCTGGGTCGTTGATTTTCACGAAGTCGATTCCTGATGTTAAGACCAATTTATTATTAATAGCCGTTTATAAGACATGACAACCACTTGCATATAAGTATTCATGATTCATGCAAGTTCACCAATTAGAGAATGCCATTTCCAATATCATGAAACTGTCAATCAGATTAAAATGTTTCTCAGCTGGAATAATCCTTAGCATGATTCAGCAAAATTTTACACGGGTTCTTAAAAGGAAAAAAAATTAATAAACGATTAATAGTATTCAGAAGGAATACTATTAATCTGCCAAAATTATAAATATATGATCAGTGCCTTTCCCAATGGGTCATGACTGATACCTAGACAAGGTACCGTAGTTGGTATGATAATAAATATATATGACACACTTCATATATAAATACATATTGAAATATAACAAAATATTCATACAGCTCATGAAATTCATGCTATCCATAGCTACCGTATAACAGCTACTACTTTTGTATTTAAGGCATCATGTTGTTACTTTTCACTGCGAAACGTTATGTAAAAAACACCCTATCTTTTAGGTTGTAAATGTGAAATACAATTGATAAATAATGCTCTTATCAAAGACAAAATACTACTGACTAATGAATTCTGGTGTAGCGTCTAGACAATGTAGTGAGGCACATGTCACGAGTGCTGAAGCCTCATTCTGGCCTTGCATATAAAGCTCTGTGATCTCATATTCACCAAACTTTACTTGCCAGTTGCACTGTTTTAAGAACATTTCTCTTCCACCACTTTGATTAGAGGAGTGAAGAAACAAGAAGTTAAATAAACTGCAAAAGTTTGACTACTGTTGTTATTCAGGTTTCGACTTACCGAACATATCGACCTCATCGTCGATATTTTCCAGCTCCTGCAGAACCTGCTCACAGTCCGGACAGTCGTCCTCGTCTTCCAGAGAGGGGAAGAGCAAAGTGAGGCATTAACGAGAGCTCATGGTATGTTTTTCCTCTTGCTATTGACTACCGCTTGTGATACATCTGATTGGTGCGTATTTTATCAGCTCTAAATATTTATTTCACAAAAAAAAAGACTACCAACAGCTGTGGACCCAAGTGACACGTTCTTAGGTTTAAGGCAACAGTTTAAGGAGCAGTAGTTGTGGAATAGGGTGTAAGATAAGCAATACTGATTTCGCAAAATGAGCAATCACATCTACTCACGCACTGATATAAATACTCAGGCAGGAGAGGAAGTAACAGGTTTCAGAGTAAACAACAAAATATTAGGACAAACGTAATGTCATGACAATAGTTAGCTCACTTAAAAATCACAAGTACAAATCCCAGTACAACGTCAAAATCAATTTTCAAAACAGGATTTTTTTAAATTTACAGTCAGGTGAGTGCAATGCATTATGTTGTTCAGTATAATGATTAATATATGTAGGCAAACAGGAAACTTCTTAAGGATTCCCACTGGTGTTCAGAGAAATTTTCCGTATAGTATTCAGTTTTGTTTTTTCACAGAGCAACTCACCATACGTATATATTTCGAATAAGACAGATGTTTATCTTGTAAAATAAAGCAGCTTATTTCCGAGACTTGCACTATGAATCAGACTAGAAATTTCATTCCATCATTGCGTTTTTTCAAGAGGAGAATAATATAACAAATATAACATAATATAACAGGGGAAAACTATTTTACTAACTCCAAGTAGCTGGACTGATACAAAATATTTAAATTATTTTGCATAATTTTGTTGAAGATTTAACTGAGAAATTTTTTTTTAATAGTTTTATACTTCTTTAAATTTAAACATTAGCGAAAAATGTCGGACATACACAAGGCTAATCTCAAAAAAATATAATATGCTTTCCTCATCACTTTACTTAAAATATGCCCTTAATGGATGGGTAATTTGTTTAGGGCAATGAAGATTATTATTATAATCAAGGGGGGAAGCGCTAAACAGGGCAATGAGAAGTGCATAGGCTGTTGTCCTTATCTGCTTATTTATACCTGACGCTTTACACTTCCGACAAGATGATGAATAATAATTAAATCTTGAGTCAATGTTTACCGGTACTTTATCTGCTCGGCGATTTAGGTGAAATTTATAGCTTATTGTGAATAATAATAAATGGGTTTTGCAACATTGTTTTAGAACGAAAAATGAAAAAATGTTTTAGGTGGTTTTGTTTAATATTTACTTTAGTTGCTCAGTTTTATTATGTAAGGCTTACAATATTACATGGATTATTCAATGGAAACAGTCATACTTTGGGCCAATGGTACGTTTTCTGATAAAATAAAAACTAACCTAACCTAGTACTTAACTCAAAATCTAGACTAGGTTATGTTAGATATTTTTTTTTATCGTGGCATTACCAAAAAAAAAAAAAAAAAAAAAAAGTTTTCTTACCTTCTGAATAAAATATGAATGTCTTCACTGTACAACCAACTTATTGTTGGAGAATTTACTTAATAACCCATATTTTCTGATCAGCTTAACACAATATTGATCGTATCTTGTATTCAAATTGAGATGCTATAAATGCACGTTAAATTTGTATAAATACTAACAATTCAATAATTTTAGTAAAATGTGAAAAATTAATCAAGATACTGAACTTTAGTATATTTGGCAATAATATAGGCTTTTCAACCTTATATGTGCTAATTCTAATATTTTTATCCTTACAAAAGGCAAAACGTAAAAATATTTACTAAATAGAATCATTTCTAAACTATGCGGCAAATTTCTTAAAAAGGCACCAACCGCTGTGTACTTCACTGAACACATGCCACAAAATCTAGCACACTGCGATGACTAACACATTTAGAAATGGTTTAATGCATACTATATTGCAAGACTGACATTTATAACACCGGAATTTTAAACATTATTTGGACGTAACAAGTGGAAGGTTGTGAGGACAAGGCAGTGCGGTCAGTGTCAACGGACACAACCTATCCTCCTAACGCCAAATTTGTAATTTGTATTTTATATATTTAAACCGGTTTACTACCTGACAGGTATCATTACATTAATGATATACACTACCAACAAGATGACGAATAATACATGTGTAACACCTGGGTGGCCTTATTTTTAAGAAAAAAAATCTCCAACCAGCGGCTGTTTATATTCAATACAAAGTTTACATACTGGGGATAATGGATGATAAGCGAGCGAGGTATAACATAATAATCAACCCTCAGCCTTCAACGGAAAGTGAAAAAAAATATACGCTGGTCAGCAAAAAATCTCCATTTATAGAGATACCAGGTGTGGCACATGTGTCTTATTACATACGTTATTTGGGTTGGTAGGTTAACGCCAATTTATCAAATTTAACAAATTATAACATGCATTAACACCAATAAATGCAACAATGCATAAAAACAGCATTATATTTTGATGCGCGAACCGGGAACCACCGAGTATAAGGAAGCAAGACAATAAAATCCTGACATTGACATTTAAGTCACTACCGACGATCTTAAGTCACAGTAAAACAGCGACATTTGCTTAGGAGGATGAGTTGCGACAGATAATACATATGTTTTGTGGAATTCATCAACACAGTGGTGGCCGAACCCCCATGATCTCTGTTACAAAAGAATGAGATGTTGAAGGCGGTTATCAAATCGTATAGAGGCTATAATATATATTATCTGATAGAACCAAATATATAAAAAAATAAATATCTATTACCCTGCCTTTCAGAACTGAAGTGTGGGGTTGAAATTAAATTTTGTACGTATATCTACATAATTAGAAGCACCTTGCAAAAGTCCATACCTTACAAAACTTGAAAAGGTAGTAGGATGATAGGAAACAATTATTTCAGTAGGATTTGAGGAGATATCAGACAGATCAGTGCTTCTGTGAAATACTTTTTATGGAGTAATGTAGTATGATAGCAATTATAATTGATTTAATTAACATTTTAAAATATCCATTCAAATAAAATTTTATCGACACCATATTGACTGGAGAGCGATAGTGATGGTCAAGAGATGATATATCACAAACTTCCTTAGCTAGCAATAAAACCAATTAATAGTTAATACCATACTACATCATAAAGGAGTTGCCTTGTCCCAGTAGCACCTGCTCCAAAAGGCAATACGAGACTGCAAATGCTTCCCCTAGTGACCACTTAGCACTTCCACTAAACAACTTCCACCTTAGCAGGTGGAAAAGTGCTGCTGTTCCCGTTTATTGTACCGAGTGAATACAAAGTTCCGTTACCTTCCCCTGGTACTTATACGGAAGTAACTGATGCTTAACACTGTTTTTAGTGAAAAGAATGTTTATTACAATCGTTTTTACTTTTCAATAATAATACACAAATAGCCCGGGTGCAAGTTGGAGATTGAAACTTACGACGTTTCGTCCGACTTGGACCACTGACTAGTCAATGGTCCAAGTCGGACCGAAACGTTGTCATAAGTTTCAGTCTCCTACTTGCAGGTTATCTGTGTACTGTTCCAATCACAGTATTGTCTTTTATTTTTTTTTCACTCTTTCCAATAATAAATCTTGTTTTTTCATTTATAATGTTGCAGTGTGGGGTGCTAACGGGATTTTGTATACACCTTGTATACTGACTTAATTTACTGCTTTGCCAGCTAATGCCCTGAGAGAAAAAGCAAGCTAGACAAGAAAATTACTGTTAGTGTGATACGGATTAAAGAAAATACAAGAATAAGCACAACTACATTCCACTGGTTCCTATTCGGTTGGACAACTTGGGAGGGTAAAGTACTGCAGGTGTGAATAAACACATGTGACCTTCCCTCAGTTTCAATCAAAAACCTTTGTCTTACAAAGTCAATAATCAATGAAATTTAACATCTCTTGTGGACATATAAAACCCGTATATCCTACAAAATAAAGGAATTAATCAACTTGCAGGTCATTTATTATGGTTAAAGTTTTCCCAGAGTGGCATATAAAATGTATTCTAACACAAATAATTAGAAAAAGTTAAATATATTGTTCATTTCATTCCAAAGGAACAATATTACTCATCAGTGTTGTGACAGCATACTTCCCAGAGAGTACCAGATCCAAGTGCAATTCAATATTCGACTTCGACAAGGTTTAGGAAACTGAAAGGACTACGTTCTGCACATAAAATAAATTAGTTTTCATAAGACGCTTTCTTAATTTTTGCTTACTGTATTTTCTAACAAATATCTACATAATAAATTTAGTTACAAAAATATAGTGAACATTTCACTAATTTTGATGAATCATTTACTTAGCCATACGTTTTTCGAGTTCCTGCCTTCCATATGGAAAGCATTAATGTTTTATTCATTTGATGTATTCTCAAGAGCAAATACTACACAAATTATGAGAATGTATATGCATCCTAAAACACAAACCTCTTAATATTATGAAGTAGAGCCGCACGTACATTATTTTAATTGATAATCATACAAATTTGAAACGCCACTTTTCTTATATGACAAAATCCAGAAAAGCTGAAGCCTTCATAAAATAAATCTGATCCTTTCTTAACTATAGTTTTTGCACATTCACTATGTACAAAAATATTCATAACTTTCCATATCCTTTTATGGAAAATATATATCTCACATGTACTGCAACATGGCCGACCGAAAAGGAACTTGTGGGCAATAATCAAAACTAAAATTATAATAATTTTACGTTTAAGAAGTAGGATGTGGTGTGGACCTTGGCTAGAGAGGAGAGGGGAAAAGTTAAACAGGAATGGCCACTTCACTAGCTGCTCCCAATGTGGCTACATGCTATCTGATGCACAAATTTTCTTCATTACGTACAGATTCCTACTAGTATCCTCAAAATTTATACCCTAAAATCTAAATGAATCATCTACAGTGTCACAAGGCCTCAACATCTCAGCGGCCACGTAACATTAAGTACAAATTTGGTTGATGAATAAAGT